TGGCAGCTTTGACTCTGTGCACAAGACCCACACGATACCAAGCCAATCAATTTCCAGCATCAGAGGCGAAGGAATTTGTGAAGTCTCACCCCTAGCTAAGGAAATAATTGATGGCTACTGATGGCTGATAGGGGAGTGAGAGTCCACAGCTCAGGGAATGTGGTGGAAAAGTAGGTGGAAAGAATATAAGATCTGGAGGGTGGGGAAGAGTGCCATGGAATAATCTTTGTACACTGTGAACACATGTTGATCTCATTGGTTTAATAAAGAGCTAAATGGTCAATAACTAGGCAGGAAGAGGTTAGGCAGGATGTGCAGGACAGGGAGAGAGCTCTGGGATGAAGAAGGGTGAAGTCACTAGGAGAAGCAAGATGAATATGCCATACTGAAGAAAGGTACTGATCCATGTGATAGCACATAGATAAAAATGTGGGTCGATATGTAAGAGCTGGTTAGTAGTGAGTCTAAGCTATTGGCCAAGCATTTATAAGAATAAGTCTCTGTGTGGTTATTTGGGAACTAGCCGGTGGGCCAGAAAATTCCACCTACAGAGGAGTGCTGTGGAATGCTGCCTTCTGGACTTGAAATGGCTACTGTGTTTGTGAAATCACAGCTGTGAGTTATGGAGGTAGATGTGGCTACCTTCACAAGATCAAGTAGACTACATCCCGGTAGAGATGGAGTAGACGATTCTTCAGGGACCACCCTCATCAAGGAGCTACTGGCAGCGGATAGCTGCTGGGGAGAAGAAAATCATTCTTAAATGAAAATATGACCACTGGTGGGTTTCCATGGATGGCCCCACACCCATGCACATATGGGCAACACTGACTGGACTTAGTGGGTTATAAAAGAAAAAACTATGAAGTTGAAAGGGGCATATATTGGAGACATATCAGTTACATTTCTGTCACTGTGATATAATACCATGACTAAGGCAACTTAGAGAAGAAAGAATTTCTTTTGGCTTAGAGGGTCAGAGTCCATGATGTCAGGGCAAAGCTAGCAGGCAGGCATGGTGACTTAGAACAGACTGTTGACAGCTTACATCTTGATGACCTCTTCTGGCATGCAGGGATTCATGCAGGTGGAGCATTCATACCAAAAACAAACAACCAAAAAAAATCATTAAAAAAAAAAAACAACTCTCAAAAATTCTTTTTTAGCCTATTTTCTATGACTCAATAGTTAGCTCAGATTTCCTCCGGTGTTTTGGATGTCTGATCATCAAACCATCCAAACTAAGGGAATAAACTCTTTCTACTGGAACCAGGCTGAAAGGATAGGAAGATATAGTCTAGAAACCACTTGGTCCCCCAGAACCACGCTACAAGGCCGATGCCATGGTCATCATCGTTTTACGAGTAAGGAAACTGAGTCAGAGAGCAGCGGAGTCATTTTCTCAGAATCACACAACTAATAACTGGAGGCGCTGGAGTTCAGACAGACTGACTCACCGTCTGTGCTTAGCCACAACCTAATGCCCCGTTGCTGAGGACCAGGAGCTCTGTGGCCCCACCCTCCCGCTCGTGAAAAGGGGTGCTAGCTCTAGTCATGATCTCTTCTGCAAAGAAGCCATTCGGCGAGGCACGAACACACCACAACCTGATTCTCAGAAGAAACACAAGGACTCTAGTGACAAAATAAACCTTGTCCATATCCAAGAAAGTCTTTTCCCGGCAAGCGAGGTGGCAGCGGGAAGATTTGAACTGGATCCCCATGATCTACATACATGGTGGAAGGAGAAAACTGACACCTGGAAGTTATCCTAGGATCTTCACATGCATACTGCAGCATGTAGGCACTCTCTCTTTCTCTCTCTCTCTCTCTCTCTCTCTCTCTCTCTCTCTCTCT